TATATATATATAAATTTAGTTATATATATATATATAATGATAAATGTAAAAACAAAACAAATTATATTTCGAAAGTTATTTTTAATATACAATTATAACGATGGGCAATCTAGTTTCAAAAACGTTCTAGTGATGAAACGAGACATATCCGGTCAATTGGTCAAAGTCAGCACGTGGCAACCAGAAATATGTGGGGAATAACACAGGAGAGCTAAATGGGTCTTTACAAAGATTCATTTGTCAAAATTCGATTTCACATTATTTGTGTTTCCATTTTCCCAACGAGCAACATATGCGCAAATCTCGCATTACTGCCTGTTTGTAGAGAGTGTCGCCATTTTGAATATATTTTGACGCGGTTCTCGGTTTCACGAGTACCTACAAGCAGTGTTTTTTTAAGAAAAAAAACGTGGTCGAACGCTCATTAGATTACTGAAAATATATTACATGGATAGTACACAAGATTTGGCACGCAAGCAGCAGCAGGACCGTCTTTATAATTTTTTTGCCGATCTTCTATGCTCAACAGAGCGATTCAACGCGGACTGAACATCAAATTTTCAAAAATTCTCTTAAACCTTATAAAATATATAGAAAAAAGGTGGTTGAACGCTGTTCCATTGCGTTCTATGACAAAAAAAGCAATGCCTACGAGTCTAGTTTTTTTATGCGCGCATGATTTCGGCATCTAATACTCTGCGCCAAATTACAACTCCTGACATGTATACTCCTTCATACCTCTATGCTGGTAAGACAACAGGCAATGCGATTTTATAAACAAGACGTAGTGTTGTCAATTACAAGAAAGTAATTATGATTATTCTTGAAATAGGTTTTACGTTATACTTTAATTATAATTTTTGTCGCTGCGTTAACTCTTTGTGAAATTACTTATATTTCGATACGTTGTTTAGATAACATTATATTAGTTCAGCATAATAAAAATAATATTGAAATGCAAGATTTTATAATTATTCCCGATCATACCTTTAGTAAATTATGCCTACCGCGAAAATAGTAGCTCCCATATCTCTGATAACGTCTTCTTCCGATATTAAACCTTGTTTGACATGAAGATCCAACAGGGAATCGATAATACGCTGTTTTGTTTTCATCTTTGGTTCTTCTTCATTATGTGTCTCTTTGTCTAAGGAATGTTGCTGCTGCATTTTTTTCACCAAATTTTCTTTTCTTCTCTTAAACAGCTACACATTAAATTAAATCATTCATTACTTAAATCAAAACACAAAATTCTATTTACTAGTTGAGTTTACCTTTTCGTCGAAACGATGAATTATTTCAATGTCTTTTTTGTAATTTTTCCCCGTTTTACTCATGAAGAAAATTGGAAAAAACCAGTACAATGGATTTACTAACCATACAGGAAAACATTTCACAATTCTAAATTTTAATGTAAATTATTATTATATCAAAAAATAATTAATGCAAATTTAAAGTTTGTATAAGAAATAGAAATAAACTATTGTCAACTATTAAATCTACACAAAATTTAAAATTATATTTCGTATGAAAAACATAATAAAAATCTATTAATTTGATATTATTTAAAATAAAAAAATACATACTTTAAATCATGAATTTGTGTAAAAGTTTATTTTGTATGTGTTAATAAATGCAACTTTTGCATTTTTCATGTTCAAAAATGCTATTTTATATCGTAATTAATTTATTTTTTAGAAATATTAGAAATAAGTTGATGGATTGTATATTTTCATATTATGAATGAATATTTAAACGTTTAGTGTTTGCTATCATAAAGACTTTTTATATCGTAATTAGTTTATTTTTGAGAAATATTAGAAATAAGTTGATGGATTGTATATTTTCATATTATGATTGAATATTTAAACGTTTAGTGTTTGCTATCATAAAGACTTTTCCTATAGTATTCAGGCAATAGGAGAAAAACACAAAGATGGATAAATACTAGTTATTTATTGCGACAACAATACGCTTTGCAGGAAAGCTTTGCTGTCACACTTTTGTCATTCATGTTACAGATTGTCTCAAGTGTATAGGAAATGCATGAAGTTTACGTTGTAAACATTATAACTGATAATTAATGCTAAAATCTTTAATCCATACTAAATGCACACATTTTTTTGTTTAGAAACGATTTCATTTCATAATTCTTCGTGGCCAAGCGGTTCTGTTGCTAAACACTGGAAGTTTGGTCACGGGCTCGGACGTGCTTGCCACGTGGAGTTTACCGAACTTTCTCCACGTTTGTAACACCTGATTTCACTTTTCCAGTTTCCCTTACAAGACCTCACTGAAAGCATTCTTTCCCCTCGCGTAAAGTCTCGCGCACCAGAGAAGGCAACGTGGAACCACTATGAATGTAATTTATCCAGAATACACCTCGGCACGTATTAACCACTTATTAAATTGCACCGGGTGCTCCCTAACATCAGGATTCTGATATGGTACCTAGATAGGTATAGCATTTACACTTCATTTATAATTTACAAAGCTTTAATATTTGGTTAATTGATCAAATAAACGAAATAAATAAAAATTTAGAAAGTTTCATTTTTCTACTATTGAAGTTCGCTGGAACGTTTTAAAAATTTCATCAGATATAAACTAACTTTATATTATTTGATATAGATATTACATGTTAATTACTATTTGAAAAGTGAAGAAATATATCTGGAACTGAATTTTCCATACCTGTGCATTGCAGACGCATATTCTTGATCGTTCGTAGTCTGAGAATGTACAGAAACTCCTACTGCTACGTCTACATAGAAATAACTGTGGTTAATTCAGAATCAGTGGAGAGACACTCAGATGAAAACATATTAAACTGGTTAAGGTATCTTCCTTTAATCTGTGAATTAATGTACAAAAGTCTTTACATAGCAGTAGGACGAACGTCCGCACGTGTCGACAGACAGTAGTTCTAACAAAGGAACAGGTTAAGACAAAGGGTCATAAAACCTTTTGTTTGGTTATTGGGTAGGTCCCTCTAGTGGGTCAAATTGGTATGCGTCGAGAGTATCGACACCTCCCCTCAATTTGATATCACGGTGAACCTTCTATGGGTCCGATACCCATGTTGGCGANTGTGTGTCCGAATTTACCCGACTAATTACCGTAAAACACTTACATGTTTCACGGTAATTACAAAAAATAAACACTTATTTAATGTTCACGTATAAACAAATAATTATTTATAATTCTTAATTAAATATTTTACATTAGAAATACCTGAAATAATATCGAGAGTGCAATATTTCAACCATTCCAGAATATCGAATACTTCATTCTCCTTTAATTGTTTGAGTTTTTCGACTAAAACGTTTGAATGCTCCATAAGTATATCTTGATCATCTTTCAGATTCCAAACATGTCCATGTGGAGCTAAATATTTTCTTCTTTTTCTCCAATTATCGTCAGAACTTTATTTAATTAAATTCAAAAAACTGTGAACAACAATATTTAAGCTGAATATCAAATAATGCATTACCTGAGAAAAAAACTGTTGTGTCCGAGAAGTGGCTTGAAGAAATCATACATAAAACTTTTATTGATTAAACTGTTGCTTTTTAACACTTCCTACAAAACGTTATACTGAATATTTACATTCGTAATAAATATATTACATAACTAGGCATGTTTGATTACCTTTGCAGATTCTGGATGTAAGAAAAAAATTAATTTATATCCAAGTATATTTATACAGGCAAGTTTTTCGTTTGGAAATAGCATAGAGAGTCCCGCAGATACATTTAAACTTACTGAAAATTTACGAAAAAATATTTCATCTATTCATAAACAGTCAAATTACCCAATAAAATATTAATGTCTTACATATGCCGAAGTGTGAATTGTGGTATTGCTTGTCACGTTGAGAAAATACAATGTTCCACAAAAATGGTAAAATGGACATAGTCGGAAGATTCATTTTTAACTCCTGGCCGTTGTCATTATTTTCTGAAAAATTAATGTCTGTTATAAATATAAAAATTGATAATAAGCAATTATTATTGCGAAATCGTCAGAATGAAAAGCAGCAACATTTTTATCATATTCTTATTTATTTAATTTAAAATATAAGCCCTCGACTAAAATTAGTGGTGGGTTTCCCTGTACATCATACTTTTAATTTAACATTACAATCGTCCGGTCATCTATCTAATATTTTTCTGGGAAAAATGTTTGAATTGAAATAATATGACTTTTATTTTCAACGAAAATTCGTAAATCGTTATTCAGGGCTACACGTGCAGAGGATTTACACGGCTTGTCTCGTTCTTCGTATATCTCATCTCCTTCTTGACATTAAGGACAGACATGCACACAGTCAATCGTCAGTAGGAATTCATAGGTCTACAGCTATTTCGAATTACAGCTTAATAATTATGTATCCTATGTCATGAAAGTTTAATATCCGCGATCTGACGAACTTCATTTTTATTAAACTACTAGCTGTTCCTGGTGGCTTTACCCGTGAGGTTTTTGCAAACACTAATTTATATAACGCCTACCGCTGAGAATGATGGAAATTGCCGATAATAACACGAAATATTTTCAATTTGATTAATTTTCTGGAATGTTTACAATCGTTTTGTAATCGAACCAATATGCAATAACAAATCGAATTTAAAACGGTTCGAGCATTGTTTCAATATGGTCTGAGTAGAAAAATGTTTATAAGAAAAATTCGTTTTAATCTTTTTAATATTGTCGATCGTTATGCAATTAAAATTTGTTTAATCGAATTCTGTATAAAATCCTGGTTCTTTTAAGACAATATTTCGTCTTGAAGTAATAATATTTTTAAAAATAATAATAAAAACTTTCAAACATTTACTTTCGTCCAGACACAGATAAAGACTTTCCATACGATATTAAAGTCGAATAATTTTCCTGTTGTTTCCTGTTTCTACATTTATTCAGTGGTGAATAAATCAACACAAGGCAAATAATAAGTAAACTTAATATTAAAAAGAATAAAACATATACGACAATATTAAAAGGAATAAAACGAATTTTTCTTATAATCATTTTTTTGGCTCAGAACATATTGAAATATCGAGAAATAAAAAAACATTTCGGTCTGTTTTTCGTATGTACGGCCTTTAGTGTGTGTGGGTGTTTGTGTAGCATTTTGTTCATTACACTTGAAGCTTGAAATAACTCCAGTGTTTTTATCGAAAGTTTCTGAAATTTAGCACGAAGGTTTGTGTGTTTGGTAAATTTATGCTGTTAAATTTTGGTCGTTGTACGTCTAGTGAATGAAGAGATAAAAGATCGTGTGTCATATCTGATATAATGAACTTAACGGTCCAATTTAATAAAGGATTTATTCCCCGTCGGCATTTTAATTTTTTCGTTCATGAATCCTAGCTCTACCCTCATACAAAGATTTTTACCATTTTATAATAATTCAAGAAATAAAACGATTTTAAAAAAAATAAAATATTAAAACAGATGGCGCCAAACGCAGTTTTTAATGTTGCTGGTAAGATTGCTTCAGTTTTAACGTTCGGTTCAAATTTCTGATGCTTAATTTACATTTTTTAAAAAATAATTTTAATGCATCTCCGACATATTTATGTAAAATTTTTTTTACAATCGCATTTTTTAAAGTATTAATATTATTAGTCTTGTTTTCTTAGGATTAAGACCAATTTTTCTTTGTTATTCTACAGAAATTTGACATTGGTTTTCATACTTGTGTGAGACTACGAACGCTGTTTTTATTTTTTCACTAACTGCGTAGTTAGTGAGGGTGACTTTCGTCGTCTGAAGGTCATGACGAGGGACCACGATGTCACGTGACTTCCATACGTCCGAGCGACCGGACGATAAAAATGACCATATAAGGAAATAAGTTTTTCGACACGCGGTAATAAATCAGGGAGAGATGTCAAAAGACGTCAACAAATTCCCAGATTTTTCCCACGCTGGTCGGGTATATAAAGGGGTCGGATTTTCTACTCGGGGCTGAGCCAGGGCGCTTAAGCCGAAGAAACGCCTCTGCAAACCTCAAGAGCGATCGTCGGGGATGAAACATCGACGCACGATCTTCCAGCACTCTCAGGAGCTACGAAGCTCATAATCGCTGCTCCATGCAAAGATTAGGAGCGAAGGAGCATACACCGTAACAGGACATCGCTCCACGTAGCCTTCAAAGGACACCTCGGATTAGAAGACGACGATCACAGAGTGATTTATCAACGCCCTATAATTGGAGAACGTTGCCTTCGAGGTAAACCCTTGCCATTATTATTTATCTCTCTCTAACGTGAGCTCTCTCTCGGATTTTAGCGTTAGGTTAGAATAGATTTTAGAATACCTATTTATATCTTGATACGCGTATGTTGTATTTATTATCTTTGTGTAAATTTTCTTATCTATTTATTAAATGTGTTCGTTAATTTAAACCTGTGTAATCGATTGGACACCTGATCACGACTTCCGACTCCTCCCCACTCATATTTTTAGCCCTCCTATGCCATTCGACAACCGAGAGCGGGTCTTTCCGGCCTGTGCAGATTAAGCGGTCGTTAGGATTTAACCCAGTGGCCCCCTGCTACTCACACTTGTAAATATAAGTTTATCGAATAATTTAATAATGATATATTTAGTTACCATGTATAAGTTTTAAATACTTTTAATGTTGACAGTTAAAGATATTTTTTTTTCTGTAAACCATAAGCTTGTGTTTAACCACAGAAGTCGCCATCTACAATCTTTTCACCGGATTCAAACTATTCTATTTTCCGCTCGAATAGTTTAATTGGTTTGATCGCCATCTTGTTTTGTAGAGGGGTAGCCTTTAATAAAAGGTCATTTCTGGAATGGAAGACTGTTCTTCCTTGTGATTCGATATAGCAAAATTAATAATATCCTTGGTTTTTTTTTCCTGTTTTTTATGTGTAAATTTGTCAGCCATGTTTTGAAAGAAATTCTTCTGTAAAGCAGTTTGAAAGTCAGTTGATTTGTTTATGTAATTACAAAAACTGTTCATAACTAAAAGACAATATTTCAATTAAAATATGTTCAAACTAAATAATTATTTATATTTAGATTATTTTCTCATCTGATTTTTTAAAAATTCTCTTTGTAAATGATTGAGGTGGAATATTTATCGAAATTCGTGTATTGTTTAAAAGTAAAATTTAGACTTATTGTGAGGAAAGTTGGGCATCTAAATTTTTTTAAAAGTAAAGCCGAAATCAAAAATTTTCATTTCAATAGGAATTTGTTAATAGAATAGATATTTAACAATACGATCTAAGATCATGGAAAAATAGAAAAATGAAGGTAATTGTTGTGCTATTAACTCCTTATTTCTTTCTTATATTTTCTCGAATTTATTCATGCGTGTTACGTTTAAATTTCTATTTTACTGAAAGAAAGAACAATCACTAAGAATGGAAATTTCCTTCGAGTTAAAATTATTATTCTGAATTTTTTAATTTATATCTTTAAAAAATTCGTTTCTTTATACTTTAAAGTAACAAATATATTTTTATTTTTTTTTTTATTTTTATTTTTTCACTTTCTTAAAATTTTATTAACAAAATTTTTGTTTTTCAACAATACAGGAATTTCGATAAATATATTTTTCGTGATTTTGAAATTGCTTTACAGAAGTATTTGTTTCAAAACATGGCTGACGAATTTACACAAAAAATAGGAAAAAATTACCAATATATTTTGAATTTTGCCATGTCGAATCACAAGGAACAACAGTCTTTCATTAGAAATGACCTATTATATAACTGTACGCAGATATTTTGCTAGATTTTCTGGTAGCTTGGTGTCGCGAAAATCCCAATCATTGTAAATCTATCCGAAATTGCATAAATTCCAATTGCCAAAAACGATCCAAAGAATTTATTAAAAGTTTAGCACTTCCGCACTGCTCATCACGAACGTAACTATTTTAAATTTCAACCGAATCTGTTGGTATTTCTTGGAGATATTAATGATCACATTTGGCATATTATCATTAGACTTATGCTGAGCTCTAATATATAGCGCTGTAGCGCTGTAGGATCACTTCTTTCGTGTTAAATTAATGATATTTTAAAATTAAAATAACAAAAAATATTTAATTATTGGCTTACCTCCAGATACAGACGAATTCTCTTCATATTTGTTCGAAGTCGAATCATTTTCCGGTTGCATCCTTTTGTATCTCCACTTCTTTCGTATTGAATATATCACAAAAAGAGAAATAATAATTAAACTTAGCAAAATTTGGAACGAACTCAACAGACACATGGTCAATATTTTTTTTTTATCTGCAGTCTTCGATGCGGTCAGTAATAATAAAATATCTATGCATAAAACAACAAGCGCCGAATAATGCCAATCAGAATCAGAGTTTTTCTGCCACGTGATTTACAGTCTGCCTATTATAGAAGACTAACTTCGCACTACAACGAGAGTTAATTTCTCTTATTTTTTTTCCCTCGAGCTTGAAAAATTTAATTTATATTTTATACTAGTTACAGCATATTTTCATTTAAAACGGCGTCATAATTTGAGTACATTTTGATAACAGTTATATAATAATTAAATACTACTTTATGTTATGGTTGAGTTATTAACGGTAAAGACGTTACCTATACCGAAGACAATACCTACGCCATAACCGGTTCTGTTATTTAGCAGTTGTATTTTACTTCAATTTTTTTTCTTTTTTACTTTTAGAATAATTTTTTCATTTACAAACTTTTTACACTTTACAAAATGGAAATGAAAATTTTACCGAATACAAAACTTTTTCTACAATTTAATTGTATAGTGTAGAACATTTATTTTTGTCAAGACGAAGATTTCATGTAAAATCAAATTTAACATGAAAACTTTACACCGCAATCTTATATTCATTTTTATGTATACTGAGTTGTCCCGACAAATATTTAGTAAAGTACCTGTGCAACGAGGAAATTTATAAAAATAAAAGTTATTTATTGTCGAGTGACCTTTTTAAATGTTATGGAAATTAAACAATTTCATCTTTTTTGCAGTCCATGGTCGCAAAGGTAGCAGCGACATGAACTGAATTAAATTCCTATAGTTTTTATATTGATTATAATTTTTTACGTTACAGTTAAACAAATATAGGGAGTTTAGGATCCAGTATATGAGATCGTCGGTAAACATAAAATACACTTAAATTTTAAGATTTACATCAGCCTGTGTAGTAAGGTGAAATGCAACTATAAATAAAAAAACAGCCCTGAGAGTGGAACAATGGAACTCAGGCATACGAGGATTGGAGATTTTTATGCCTCATCAACAACCTGCCCATGTAAAGGTTTTTTTTTTGTATCTCGTATTAAATGTGGAATTAGGTGCTCCTTTTCTATAAAAGTTCTTCCGAGAAATATTTTTTTCTCATATTTACTTGACTTCAAGCCATCCATCGAGAACGCGTTGCCTTATTCATTTCACAAAATCTATCCCTTGTGTTTTATTCGCAGTAAACATCCTTCGGGGACGATATTCTGCAATAATAAATTATTTTTAATTATTAAATTATAAAATTAATTTGCGATAATAATTTTTGCAATTCGTATTAATATCGAATGTGGTTGAGAATTATTAATATATATTTGCTATTTTTTTCCAATGTCCGAATAAATTAAAACACTACAATTTGAAATAATATTTTAACAATAAGACAAAGTAAAAATGGGAAAATAGTTTAATATGATAATTATTTAAATTATATTTGTTACTTATTTATTAAATATCTATACAACGTATTGATTTTGAAATTATCTATTTTTGTTCAATTAAGAATTGTTCGAAAGATATAATATTGCAAAAAAATAATGCTTTTTAATTAAAATATTTGTGGTAATAACAATTTTTTTAATAATTTAATGTAAAATTGTCAGAACCTACAAGTAAAGATCGGCATTTAATCTCTTTTAACATTTTGGATTTTTCTACCGATTTTTACCTTGTTTAAAAAGTGTTCTCTTAAAAACAATTTAAAAGTTACTTCTGTGGTAGTGTATTAGGAATTAAAAGATAAATTCGAAAATTTAATTTAATTCTTGTAAATACAGTAGAGAGTCGATTATCCGAAGGTCTGTTCTCCGAAACGTCGGTTATCCGAAAGAATTCCAGTCGACAAATTTAAATTTTCGCCAGTGCTATGATGCTGTAATCTTTGGCTATGTCTTAGGCTACTCAAATATTTTACGTTTTTGATACTAAATTAACTTCCGAAGTATAATATTTTATTGTTTTTATATTTTTCAATATATTGATTTTGTTTGTACAAAATAAAAAAATAATTTTTAACGATACAATAGTCTTTGTTAGGCTTAAAATCGACGAAAATTAAACGCGAAGCGATACGCAACGTAGAAAAATTTCAACACGGGATAAATTAATGTATTTTTTCGTACATAATTGGTTATCCGAAAAATAAGTTATCCGAACAACCCCAGTCCCCAATTGGTTCGGATTAACGACGATCTACTGTAGTCTAAACTACAATTATGAAAAAAATACATTTTAAGTATCACAATTTTTTTTTTAATATTATCTGATCTTGGACATTTAAGAAGTTCAATATCTTAATAACTGTAGCTCCAGTTTGTCAAACGATTTTTTTTCTATCTATCCACCTTTAAATAAAAATAATTCTTTATACGTTAAGAAATAATTTTCGTAAATTACTGTGTTCGATTCAGGCAGTTATATCCGATGGTATTTCGTCTATAAAAATTAATCCGTGAATTCTTTTCTTAGTAAAATTAATTTATCATTGTTTTTTAGCTGATAATTGATGCTTTTTGAAAGAATCTATAGCCCAAATTTCTCTTGAAAAATTAATTTTGTAATCAGTGCTACCCAAACCACTACCACTACTTTTACACCATGCACTTCTATGCACAGGTTTTTTCCAGCGAGTTTTAGTAGAATTTCTAGCTAATAAACATCCAAGAACAGCCAGTATTTCGTCATCAGATGCCATGGCTAACTGACTGACTGAGAGGTTTACTTCTTCGTGTGTGGGCGATAGGAAATTCTGAATTACCACAAGGTCAGGCATGCACGGTTAATCTTCAAAGGATTTACGTAACGTTCATCGCCGCCTTAAAGTTAATAAATGGCATGGCCTGTCGCGGTTTGGAACTGATACTCTTTGTAGACAGGCAAACAAATATGGCAATCTTATACGAACTACTGAACACAGAAATGAAACGCGAGTAAACATGTAATCAATATGCATGACATGACTATCATTTTCATAGAAATGGAAGAAATATACAGTACATTGGCTATCACACTGGGGTATACCAAATAAGTTGTGAGGGAAAATTTTTAAGAGAAAGATTATGAAGTATGTATTGTATATGTTACAGTCAAAACCCGTTTTTAGTTAGAACGCGTTTTAACTAGTTGAAACTAGTTTATACTGAATGTCTCTGTTAAAACCCGTTTTGTCTACTTAAAACTAGTTTTAACTCAAATTCATTTTTGACTACAGTAAATTCTAGTTTTAACTAGACAAAATCGGTTTTGTCTGGTTAATTTACTGCTGTAGGCCTACATGTTTTGACTTTAGACAAAACTAGTTTTAACTTTTAACATTAGTTAAAACTAATTTTAGCTACATAAATATGTTTGGGGGAAATAAAGTTA